CATCTTACACAGTTAATGACTGCAGTGCTGATAATAAAGCGGTCTGACCTTATTCTGCTAATAAAGGTTCTGATCTGCATTAGCTGTCAGGACTACAGAGCGCAGGGTGGAATAATAAAGGGCTGAGAGAATGTGACTGTTTAGTGTAGGAGTGTGAGTTGGGGGGTGGGGGGGGGAGGCAGCAATATGGCCATATGGAGGCAGCTCACCCAGTGGGGGGCAGAGAGAGGAGTGAGGTGACACACTGCCATGTGCGAGTGTGTGTGTGCTACTGATGCTCTCTCTCAGCCTCCGCACGTGTGTGTGTGTGTGTGTGTGTGTGGATTTATAGGTGTCACGTATGTGAAGGTCTGAAATCACTAATACAGATTAGCAAGTGGGATCAGATGTGCTCTCTCTCTCACACTTTCTGTCCTTCTCTCCTTGTCCTCTCTCTCTCTCTCTCTCTCTCTCTCTCTCTCTCTCTCTCATTTTCTCTTCTCTGTGTCTTCTCTCTCTCTCTCTCTCTCTCTCTCTATCACCTGTAGAAGTGATATTACTGCAGTCCTGTTCATTTAACCTGTCTGAACAGGGCTTTTCTCTTTTTCTCCTCTCTCTCCTTCTCTCTATCTCTCTCTCCTGTCTCTCACCTCATGTCTCTTCATTTTGTTCTCTCTATTTCTCTCTCACACTGACTCCCTCTCCCTACATCCTCTCTCTATTTCTCTCTCTTCCCATGTCTTTCTCTTTATCTCTTGGTCTCTCTGTCCCCACCTCTTTTCTCTCTCTTTTCCCATCACTCATTCTTTCCTCACCTCTCTCTTCCTTTCTTGCTCTCTGTTTTCTCCCTCACTCACTTTCCACTGTCTTATTCACTTACTCTCTCTTTTTCTCTTTGTCCTCTCTCTCTCTCTCCCTCTCTCTGTATTGTTTAGCTCCTACTGGCTGAAGGACAATGAATCCGGATGAAACTGAAATCAGCTGTCAGGCGTACAATAGAGCAGCATAATGGTCTTCAGCCAGAAGACAATGTGAGTCTGCTGCCCACGGCTGACTGTACATCCCGACTGCATACAACTCCCACAATGCACTGCACAATCCGTGGGATTCGTCCTGCACATGCAAATATACCTACAACTCCCACGATGCACTGCACAGTGTAAGCTGTGAAAGATCAGCATGGACAACAACTCCCAGAGAGTGAGAAAGAGGAAGGAGAGAAAGGAGGGCGAGGCAGAGAAAGAGGAGAGAAGACAAAAAAGAGTAAGATGAAAAGTGAAAGAGAGAGAGAGAAGAGAGGGAAAGAGAAAGAGAAGGAAAGAGGAAGAGAAGGAAAGAGAAAGAGGAAAGAAAGACAAAAAAAAGAGTAAGATGAAAAAGAGAAAGAGAGAGAGAAGAGAAGGAAAGAGAAAGAGAAGAGAGGGAAAGAGAAAGAGAAGGAAAGAGAAAGAGAAGGAAAGAGAAAGAGGAAAGAAAAACAAAAAAAAGAGTAAGATGAAAAAGAGAGAGAGAGAAGAGAAGGAAAGAGGAAGAGAAGGAAAGAGAAAGAGGAAAGAAAGACAAAAAAAAGAGTAAGATGAAAAAGAGAAAGAGAAAGAGAAGAGAGGGAAAGAGAAAGAGAAGAGAAGGAAAGAGAAAGAGAAGGAAAGAGAAAGAGAGAGAGAAGGAAAGCGAAAGAGAAAGAAGGAAAGAGAAAGAGAAGGAAAGAGAAGAGAAGGAAAGAGAAAGAGAAAGAGAAGGAAAGAGAAAGAGAAAGAGAAGGAAAGAGAAAGAGAAGGAAAGAGAAAGAGAAGAGAAGGAAAGAGAAAGAGAAGAGAGGGAAAGAGAAAAGAGAGAAGGAAAGAGAAAGAGAAGAAAGAGAAAGAGGAGAGAAAGACAAAAAAGAGTAAGATGAAAAAGAGTAAGATGAAAAAGAGAAAGAGAAGGAAAGAGAAAGAGAAGAGAAGGAAAGAGAGAGAAGAGAAGGAAAGAGAAAGAGAAGGAAAGAGAAAGAGAAAAGAAGGAAAGGGAAAGAGAAGAGAAGGAAAGGGAAAGAGAAGAGAAGGAAAGAGAAAGAGAAGGAAAGAGAAAGAGAGAGAGAAGGAAAGCGAAAGAGAAAGAAGGAAAGAGAAAGAGAAGGAAAGAGAAGAGAAGGAAAGAGAAAGAGAAAGAGAAGGAAAGAGAAGGAAAGGGAAAGAGAAGAGAAGGAAAGAGAAAGAGAAGAGAAGGAAAGAGAAAGAGAAGAGAAGGAAAGAGAAAGAGAAGGAAAGAGAAAGAGAAGAGAAGGAAAGAGAAAGAGAAGAGAGGGAAAGAGAAAGAGAAGAGAAGGAAAGAGAAAGAGAAGGAAAGAGAAAGAGGAGAGAAAGACAAAAAAGAGTAAGATGAAAAAGAGTAAGATGAAAAAGAGAAAGAGAGGGAGAAAGATAGAGGAGAGAGATACAAAGAGAGGGAGGGAGGAGTAGGAAAGAGAGAAAGAGTAAGGAAAAAAAGAAAAAGAAAGAAAGAGATGACAAACAAAGAGAGGAGGGGGGGCACTGGAGTCGGTCACAGGCCATTTCACAGCCAGTTCACAGGCACTGCTGAGTCACACCAGCACGACCACAGCGTCAGTCACTGATGTCACTGATGTCACTGATGTCACTAAACAGCGTCAGAGAGATAAAAAGTCCATCACAATATCAGTTTATCAAAATAGTCTTTGGCACTTATGAGAAAAGATTTTGACTGACCGGTTAGTTGCGCGTTGGCGAGCGGTGTAGACGAGTGTTCACAGATAGAGGAGTGGGGGTGCTGATCGAGCCCCTTTCTGTCGTCATTACGAACCAAACGGATCCTAATACACAGCGCAAGATCAATCATCAGATTCATTTGCTTGTGGGGGTCCGAAGCACAACCTACGCTACAAAATGTTCTTCCACACATTGCCTGCAATTACACACTTCCGCCAGAGAGGTCTCCAAATCCCCAAGTCTTACACAGTGTAGCTTTAAAAACAGTACAGTAGGTTTCAAACCATTTTTAAACATGTTCACGTGAGCATTTATTATTTTTACAGATTATTTTCCCCATTTGTCCTGAAACCGGCCGTTAAAATCTGTGAAAAAGTGTATTTAAACAGCACCCACACAATCTTAATCTCCATTTTAAACTATGTGCATCTCACAACTTGATGTGCTTTAGCCAGTCGTGCCCTGAGGAACGCCCACTGTTTTACTTTGATACTTTATCTTGTTATACTTTGATACTGACCAATTTTAATGTAGGCTTTTTATGCACTTTCATGCTTATTTGTTTTTTTGTTTTTTTTTTACTTTTGATTTAAATAGCCTGGAGCTTTACTTCCAAACACTTTTCAGAGTTATTTTCCACGTTTATGTTGGCTGGGTTGGAAATAAACACCGGCAGATGTACGATTAGTTACAGAAGTGTTATTATTGAGTTCAAGCAAGACAGCTCACTAACTTTAGCTGTGCTGCACCAGCGCAATAATAAGCACGTTGCTAGCTGGATCTGGCAGGGCGGCAGCGCTGCTATAGAAGAGCGGTGCTTCGCTTCTATGACACTGTTTGTCCTTGTCATGTTATAATGAGCACTGATTCTACCCACTCACAGTTATTTCCACAGCTCTCTGCCTGCACACTTCCTTTTTACATAAAATCAGGTCATAACCCCGGGTTCCTACTCCCCTGCACCAGTCTAAATGATATAACTGCAACGAAATGTCTGCACGATGTATTATGTAATAGACGGTGCATCATTTGGGGAACGGCTAGTCAATACTGGGTGTAGGTAACGCACAGGATACAGCTGGTGTAGGGGCGTGTTGTGCATTTTACAGGCCGCCGTTTTAACTCTAACTTCATCAAGCTGCCAGCAATTCAGATTTCACTACACTGAGTCAGGATAGAACACAAATGTGTGATTTACATTCCTGTTTCTGTCCAAAAGGTCGTTTGTAACACAAGCCATAATACAGAAAACATGGAGAGGCTTTTTCTGTAATTCTGCTTCTAAACTCTGGAACTCAATTCATCTTTTATTAGACAGTCAAGCCCACAGCTCACTTCTAAATGGGACCTTTTATACTTTGCTGTCTTTCCCCCTTTTCCCTCTACTGTGTTGTAGCGTTTTGTGCACGTAAACGTTCTGCAGAGTCCCAAAGCTCAGCGTTCCCTCCAGAGGGAGAGACTCTCTCCCACAGAACCCACTTTTCTCAGCTGCCTGAAACGCCTCGTTGGAATCCCAGCCGTTTTCCTTTGTTACAGGATGACTCAGTCTCGTAACACAGTCCTTACTGCCCGCCTACCGGCGAGCTCCGCCCCCTCACACAGCGCACAGCGGCTACTGGAGGAGGAAGAATGTGTTCAGTGCTGTAGCGTGTGGAGAGACGCTGACGTGGACAAATTGGCAGATTAGTCGTCGTGTTTCCTAGCTGTTTGATTATTAGCTAGTTAGTAGCACACAGGACAAAAATGTAGAATTATCTACACAGTTGATGAATATGCCAACATCATGCAGCTATGCCCTGTAAATGTTAGAGCACCACATTAAAAGTTAGAAGCTTTAATAAGCCTCGATGTCTCAATGAACATATTACTGTTTTCTTTCATTCACGCTTATTCACCTCCACTCAGCACACACAATTCAAATCTAACGACTGTGGAAAACTACTGTAGTCCTAAATAGTCCTAAAAATTGATGATACTTTTTTAAAATAATTGCGATTTGGCGATTCTGTAATAATTTACAGCCCTATTAGTAGTAAACACAAAAAAATTGGGCACATTCTCATCAACCTGCATCCTGTAGCAAGAGAATTTTTCTTTTTGCATATTCAGCTGATGTAGGAACGTAGTACAAGCACTAAATGTCAACAGCGCCGCCGTTTTCCTTTTAGGTTTAAATCAGATCTAGGCCTGGAAGTCAATGCAGCCGTACAGCAGAATGTTGGACACGTTTTCTGATTCTAAATTATATTTTCTTTACACTCCAAGTATGTTAAAACAGCACTGCCCCTCACTGGGGTCTGTACACCGTCCTACCTTCACAGCTGCTGTGTCCCTCCTCGTATCCGGCGCTGCAGCTGCACTTCCCGATGGGCACCAGCCACTCGCCCTCTGCGCTGCAGTGCATCCTGGGAGGCGAGTCCGTGTCCACCTCAGAGTTATTCACGCACGTCCCCCGGACCTCCACCAGGGTGGCGAACGCTGCCTCGGCCACAGTGTCGGGGAACACGGCCAGGTTCTGCACGGTGGACAGGCAGCGCTTGTAGTAGACGCGGACGGACACGATGGCCACGCACGCGCCCACGTCCTGGAAGGCCAGGTGGAAGCCCTTGCGGTTGAGGTGTCCGATCTCGCGCACCTCTGTGTTCAGCTTCATCTTCCTCTCGCCCAGGTCGCCCTGCGTGAAGCTCTCGTCGGCGGCGATGGTGTCGATCTTGCTGTAGCGGTCCTCGCGGGCCACACGGCCCAGGTCCCAGTCCGACTCAGCATAGAGCAGGTTGAAGGTCTCCTTACAGCTGCCGGCCACTCCGGGGATGCTGTTGCAGTCCCTCAGCGTGAACTGCAGTTCGATGAAGATGCGCTGACCGCCCTGCCGCCATATCCAGCCCGTCTGCAGCCAGTTGTTCTGACTGGGCTCCATCACGTTGCACACCTGGTAGGTGCGAATGGGCTTGTATTTCTCGTCCACACCGCTAATCTCCTCCCACTGCACAGACAAAGAAAAACATGAATCATTCTGAAGACAAACCCGGACCTTTTTGGATTTGTGTGCTGCTGTAACAGAACAAGGTTAAAACCCCATTCAAGGAATTCCAGAGCAGCATAACACTAACTGTGCGTGGACACCGCCAGCGACTAAAGCAACAAGGTAGTCGAAAGTCATTCATTTTAAATGAGAGCCAACGACGCTCAGTGGCAAACAAAGGCACAGCTGTGGGCAACGCGAAGTGAGTGATCTGAGCGACGTGAAGTAATTCAACATCACGCAAGCGAGGAGCACTGACCTTGGTACCCGCTGAAGACGTATATTTATATACTGATGACCATAACAGTGAAGCTTTAATGAAGTGCTAGCATAGCGTAGCCTCATTGTGAATGAACTCTTCTTGCATTGAAGTCCATGTAGTTACTGAGTAATAAACCTTTGTATTAATAAGCCTGGGATTTTAAGGTGTTAACAGATACTGAAAGACGTTTAAAATCTACGTTTCGGAGACAGATGTAGCGAGCTCAAGTGTTAATGTGAGGAAATTTCTGGAGTATAAATTGAAAAAAATAATGCTGAGAAGTGAAATATTATGAATTTGTTTTCTTAATTTTGTCATTTACTTTTAAAGATTTTTGCCTCATGTGATGTGAGGTAATAAATGCAGCCTGCGCAGGCTGAGCGCTGGGTTATACTGGCTTTTTCCCAGTTTTCTCCCAATTTAGTCGTATCCAATTCCACTCACTAGTTAGGACCGCATATTTTTAAACTGCCACTTAGGCTACGTTCACACAGCAGGTAAAAGTGGCCCACACAGATGTGTGTCTGTGTGTCAGTGGAACAGATAAACACACTGAATCTGACATTTTCAATTCCGATTAGAGACGCTTTCATATGTGGTACTGAAATCCGATGCGTATCCGATCTGCGGCAATGCGACTCTCTGAACAGCCAGATCGGAATTCATGCGACTTTTATGTCAGTCCAACTCGACATTCGTCATAATTTTGCGCTGCTGAGACTCAAACATTTAGGCTGATGTTTCTGTACCAAAGAATTAGAAGAGACTTATCCCAGCCGCTCCGTGTCCCGAACGCAGCCGGAGGAACCCTTTTTACAGCGAACTTGAACACACTGTGGGTGATGAGTCCAGCTGTCAACAACTGCAACTTCATAACCGCTCCTGTGATGCTGGCGAAGACGAAACTGAACCCTCCGGGAGCGACAGGCGTTCACTGGCCATCATGACTGTTCACCTCTGGACAAGCCACGTAAAGCACTGTTCTTTTGCGCATGTGAGTCGGTTTAGGAGCTGATCTGTTCAAACTGATGTCGTATACGGATCATATTTAAAAGACAATGTGAACAGCCAAACAACAACAAAAAAAAAATCAGACTTGGGCCACTTTTACCTGCTGTGTAAACGTAGCCTAAGACGTCATTACACAGCTGAACGCGCTTGGGGGAAACGCTAACCGCCAGTTCTGTTACGTCAGCTAACAGACGCCTGTGCTGGCTAGCATCACTCTGAGTGATGGGGGTGACAAGCGGTCATCCTGCTCACCCAGTGAGAACGAGGACAACTGTGCTCTCATGCTTTTAAAATGTAGTTTGCATGATCCAATCCAATCAGGCTTGCTATCTCCCTCCTCTCCCACCAGTGACCAGCTGAAGGCTGCCCATGCAACGCGGAGCAATTTTTTGCAGTACTGATGTCACAGATGGCTTTTATACTGTGAGCTGTGATCATTCTGACCAACATCAGATGTTCCAGATGAGTGTCTCTGTGGGGCTTTACTCTGATAAGCTGCACCCAGAGGCCTAGTTTTGATCAATGACTGGTTTCCAAGAAATGTAGGAAATACAAGACCCTCAATGGGGTTAAATGGTGCTAAATTTCTGTTCTTTTTTCCTACTGATTGAATTCTGGTCAAAATAATACAGGCCAACCTTTAATCTGTACATCAAATGTTCACCAATGTCTTTGATACATTACAAGATGCAATATGTAGTGATATAATCGCAATGTTATTTTATCCATGTATCCCTACTAGAAATGAATTTTTTATTACTGACTCATGTTTCATGTTTTTTTTTATTTAGTTTTTTATTGGAATAGCAAAAAATGGTACATATGAGTGATATGTTTTCTCAGCTTGTGCTTTTCTATCTTTAATTTTTAGGAAAAGTCATAGAACAAAAGCTAAAATGAAGCCTGGTTAGGAGATGGAGGATATAATAATCCATTATGTATGTGTTATACCCTGAATCAAAGCTGCATATTCAATCCATTTCACTCAGTACTTGTAGAATTTTTCTGCCTGTAGATTTAGGGGAAGTGTCATTTTATGTAGTTTTATTATCTGTGCCAGTTGTTGAAAACTCAGCCAGCAGCTGCCAAAGCAGCATGACACCCACTAAAAGGATTAGTCTACAAACAGCTCTACAGTGATTTTTGTGGGGGTGATGTCATTATCCAGAACCCTTTGTTGTTGCAATAATAAAAAATGGATCTTGACTTCTGACTGGGTCGAGAAGCTCAGCTGAAATTCATTTCCTCAGAAAGAGTCACACTGGAACTAAACTCCAGCCTGGAAACATCATATTCATTAAGACATCATGATCTTGTGTTTTATTGCTCAAGTCTAGTTCTGGATTAAGCCTAGTCCTCCCCTAACAGTGACTTTCTAGGCTTAAACCTTCACAGATTATATTTTAATTTATTTGTATTTGTAGGCCAGGAAACTGGCACTAACTGCTCTCCATAATAAATGCTCCAATTTGTCCAAGCACAGATACACTGTAGTTAACAGTATTTGAAGATCTGGAAGCAGGATTAAGACGGCTTACTTGTCCCACTATAAGCCAGCATCAAACATTTGCATGAATATCCAGAGAAGTTCGACTGTGTGACAAAATGGTCTGCATGTCTTTAATACAATGCACCAACATTTCTGCAAGTTACTCATTTAATTCCACCAAATTTCCAAAATTTCTGAATAATCCAGTTCTTGATATGTAAACAGACTCTTTCAGAATGTTTTGATGTCAAGTGATCCATTACAGACTCTCAGAGTCTTTCTCTACATATTTCTTTACAGTGGTGGTGATAGGAACCAGGGGTCGCCATGACTACAACACAAATATAGACATTTTATTTACTATCCAGAACCACCAGTGAACCTACACGAGTCCTCTGAGTTTATATGGGATGTTGATGATGGGAAACAGTGGAAAATCTGAAATAATAAGTTTTCTTTAGGATCTACTTCCACGAGTTATTCACCCAGAAATATAACCCAGCTGTACATATGGTCTGATTTGGTATATTACAGTATAATACTGTGCCCATACTGTGCAGCCCGAACGTCTGCCTTATTTATAATTTACATGATTTATATATAGTGGAATATATCGCAAAAGCCTAAAACACTGCAATGTGACTGTTTGCCCCAGTATTGCTCATCCCCATCAAACTCTACCCTCTTAAAAAGGATGATTCTTCAAGGGTTCTTTAGTAAAGACATCTTTCAAAGTTTGTTCTTAAGTGTGTTCTGGAGAAAGGTCCTAAGCAAAAAGTCTACGACAGATCCATGACGTGTTCTTAAAGCGCAGAACTGTTCTCACCTTTGTGCTCTTGAGTGTGTGTAGATTCTGTTCTTACCCAAGAACCAATCCCAGATAAGAGAACACTGGCGAATGTCAAACTGCATAAGTGGGTTTTAAGACGTTTCTTCTTAAGAACAGTTGGTGAATGAGGCCCAAAGGTTCTATACAGACCCATGAACACTCAAAGAACCATTTGCATCCTTAAATGGCTCTTTGCATGGTGAAATGGTTCTTCAGAAGGTGAGCCTTTTTGAAAGTGGTTCTATATAGCACCAAAAAGGGTTCTTCTATTGTATACAAGCTTGACAGCGTAACAAAAGCAGAACCCTTTTGGTGCTATACAGGACCATATACAACACATTCTCCATCCGTCTGAAGAACTAAAGAACCATTTAAGCATGAGTCTTTGAGTGTTCATAGTTCTATATAGAAGCACCGTCTTTACTAAAGAACCCTTGAAGACTATTTTAAGAGTGTTTGAAAAGTCTGGGGTGACATAATTAATCACATCCTGTATCGTGATTCCTGTAACTGAATGTAAAGTATCAGAACAGCCCTATTAAATCCCAGTCCTGCTCTCCATCCCGAATGTATAAAGACTAATCTATCGCTCCGTGCTTTCTATTCAGGATCCAGTCATAAATGAGCTCCTTGTGCTAGAAGGAATATAATGAGCCTCACTTGTCAAAGGCTCCCCTAACATTTCCTCAATTAATTACAGAGTAAGTGTGATGCATGTTTCAATGGGAATTAAGCCGTATGAATCCGGGCCTGAGTCAGGCTGAGACGCTCGATGCACAGACGTTGGGGGGAACTGGGGGGGTCGTTTGTGAGTTTTATGTTCGCCTGCTTGTGTAAGTGTGTGTGTGAGGGTGTGTACGTGTGTTTGAGCCGTTCCTGTTTGTGTTGGCGTGATCACACAGCTGCAGTGGACGGCGTGGAGGGAGCTGAGGATTTAATCACTGTCATGTCCAGAATTAACAAGCTAAACAAATAACAGCTTGCTGTGCGGCTGCACCACATGGCCAGCTTTTCCGCCAAGTACAGGTACAGCACGTAGCAGGGAAGGCAATTCAGTCATCATATTTGAATGTGTAAGGCACTGTTTGATAACTGTTAGAATAAAACCTTCAGAAAAAAAGCCTCTTAACCCCACTCAGTATTTTACTACTACCGTACCACATTAAACCCACAACCAGACCACAAACACACAGCAGGGGAAACACTCCGTAACACTTTACTGTAGGGTTCGGGCTACATGACACCTACACCACTGTCCAAAGAAAAACATGACTGTCCAAGACTATGACTGGTCAAGACTATGACTTCAAGACTTTGACTTTTCAGGACTGTAACTGTCCGAGACGACGACTCTTCAAGACTATGACTTTTCAGGACTATAACTGTCCGAGACTACGACTTTTCAGGGCTATAACTGTCCAAGACTACGACTTTTCAGGACTATAACTGTCCAAGACTACGACTGTTCAAGACTATGACTTTTCAGGGCTATAACTGTCCAAGACTACAACTTTTCAGGGCTATAACTGTCCGAGACGACGACTCTTCAAGACTATGACTTTTCAGGACTATAACTGTCCGAGACTACGACTGTTCAAGACTATGACTTTTCAGGACTACAACTGTCCGAGACTACGACTGTTCAAGATTACGACTGTGTAAGACTATGACAGCCCAAGACCATGACTAGTTAAGACCAAGACCACATGAGAGCGAGACAGAGTTAAAATTGAGACTAAACAAACTCTCGTCGTTATCTAGTGCAACATCTCCATTTTTTCCAGTTTTACCATTTCTACATCACCTGAGTTCAGCAGCTGCCCTTTACATTGTGTGAACATTTCATGAGGAAAGGACCAACAGAAACGCTCCAAAATTGCTTGGAATAAAATCTTTTACGTTCACTTGCATTGAAAGTAAACAATGTTTTTACCTCTCCTATAAAGTCACTAATTTACTTAGATACTTGCTTTTCTTTGGACAACAATGACAAGCTTATGACAACTTATGTAACCCTACATAAAATTCATAAATGCTTATTCCAATTTGCTATAAAGGATTCAAACGGCTTAATTCCCATTGAAACATGCATCACACTTACTCTGTAATTAATTGAGGAAATGTTAGGGGAGCCTTTGACAAGTGAGGCTCACTATATTCCTTCTAGCACAAGGAGCTCATTTATGACTGGATCCTGAATAGAAAGCACGGAGCGATAGATTAGTCTTTATACATTCGGGATGGAGAGCAGGACTGGGATTTAATAGGGCTGTTCCGATACTTTACATTCAGTTACAGGAATCACGATACAGGATGTGATTAATTATGTCACCCCAGACTTTTCAAACACTCTTAAAATAGTCTTCAAGGGTTCTTTAGTAAAGACGGTGCTTCTATATAGAACCATGAACCACGAAAGTTAGCTGAAGTAGTCTTTATGACAAATGACGCCTACTGGAATCACCATTTTTATACATTTCTAAACATTTCTGCAGGGTTATGTCAGCTGTTATGACAAGCTTATGTAGGTGTAATGTAGCCTTATGAACAGAACCCTACAGTAAAATGTTACCAAACTGTCTATAATTGGTGTAAATTAGTGGTGCACAATCAGAATGGGCAGATTTTTGGTCCGAACATGCAGCCGCCAGTCAGTTAGTTTATTATTTTGATTTTGGCAGATTTGCGGTTTTACAGTGCTGTGAATAAGTATTTGCCCCTCACCCGATTTCTTCTACTTGTTTCAGATCATCCAACTACTTTTAATATAAGATTAAGACAACATGAGCAAACACAAAATGCAGCTTTTAAACAATCACTCCATTTACTGAAGGTAAAGATTTATTCAAACCCTGTATCACCCATGTGAAAAAGTAACTGCCCTCTAAATATGATAATAACTGGTTGTGCTGCCCTCTGCAGCAGCGAGTGCAAACAGTTCGATAAGCTGCGATGATTCTTTTACATCACTGTGGAGGAATTCTGTCCCACTCTTCTTTACAGAACTGCTTTAATTCAGCTACATTGGAGGGTTTTCGAGCCTGGACTGTCTGTTTAACGTCCTGCTACAGCATCTCAGTAGGAATCAAGTCAGGACTTTGACTGAGCCACTCCAAAGCCTTAATTCTGTTTCTTCTGAGCCATTCAGAGTTGGACTTGCTTGTGTGCTTCAGATTATTGTCCTGCTGCATAACTTTACTGCACTTGAGCTTTAGGTCACGAACTGACAGGCAGACATTCTCCTTCAGGATTTTAGCCCCAGACCATCACACTACCACCACCATGTTTTACTTTTGGTACGATGTTCTTATGGTGGAATGCGGTGTTAGCTTTGTGCCAGATGTAACGGGACCCATGTCTTCCAGAAAGTTCCACCTTTGACTCATCAGTCCACAGAATATTATCCCAAAAGTCCAGGGGGTCTTCTCTATAAACTGGGAGGGGGGTAAATACCTTTTTCACAGCACCATAGGTGATTAATATGCAGCCGTATTGTGTCTGAATGCTGCTGGTTTACCTGCACCAAAATGTTGTAACATGAAGCCAGCAGTATGTGTCAACCTGAAACAACATTTCAAAGCAAAGTTTTCTGGCCAAAGCGATCTTCACTGCCTGCTGAACAGAACTCATCACAGCATCGTTCTTTCTGAGACGTCCGCCAGACTGTGGCTGATCCACAACACGAGAGAGTCTAGCGGTGCCGAGACGTACGGAGTTCTTTTTAAGCATACTAATGACAGCGTGTTCAGCAGTAGTTCTATTTCAATTTGTTCTTTCGTCGTCTGAAGTGACTGCCGGCTTAATTACGTGTGACTCATTGTGCCAGTCACCTCTTACTTTTAATGTAGCACTTACATTTGACTCATGGTATATAAATAGGCAATTCATTTTTAACGTAAGGTTTTAAATGTCTACTTGGCTGATTTAAGAGTAAATAATGTTCTTTATTTTGACTTTAGCTGACAGAAAGCACTGGAAATGGGGTGGTGTGGTTCATGGGTTCTTTTAGAACACACTGTGTGGGCTTAAGTTAAAGGGGAACTCCACCGATTTTGTAAAATGACTTAATCATTTAATGGTTTAGATGTCAACAAAATCACTCAGAGTGGTTCGGTGTGAAACGCGCTTTTCTAGAGAAATGTATCGAGTCAGAATTGTTCACCATTACAGTGCTAGGAACCAGACGTCTGATTCGTTTAATGGCTCTGAAAGCTACATCCTGTTAAGTTATTACACAAAACGGTTACGAATGCATGGCTTGATACCTGAGACACTGTTTCGTGATAGTATAAGGCTTCACTCCAGCTATTTTACCACTATCATATAAAACATACAAGACACGTGAGTTCACTGGTCATTTTGGAAAGCAGACAAAATGGTGATATTTGTAATAGACGTACAGACGCCTGGTTCCTAGAACTACAATGGTGAACAATTTCGACTAAATTTCTCTAGAAAGGCGCATTTCACACCAAACTACTCTGAATGATTTTGTTTACATCTAAACCATTAAATGATTAATTAATTTTGCTAAATCGATGGAGTTCCCCTTAAAAAAAGGATTATAAAAGTTAAACAACCAGCCATCAGCAAATATGGCTTTAAAGAAATTGGAAAAGCCTTAAAAATGCCTCACTGGTGCACCCCTAGTAGGGCTTATCGTGAGTACCTATAGACACTGATCAACTGCATATTATATTTCAAAGAGAGCAAATCTAGTATCATTTAACTGGATTTAGTGCCAAATATTAAATAAAAATCATTGCATTCACAGTTTTTGATAGTATTTTTTAAAATGTAGCTCTGCTGGCTCTTTTTCTCTATTCCAACTGATCAGAGGTCTGAAAAAGTATCGTGACATATTGTGTATTGCGAAGATTTCTTGAAGTATCGTGATATGTTTTCGCCATATCGCCCAGCTCTACACCCTAGTCTTAATCTGTCTTTATGATGCATGCAGTTCTTCAGTGTTCTAGAAGTACTGAACATACCCATCGTGGGTGGAATATACCGTGATAATGACACCCTATCATTATATTGCCCACTCCTAAATGTCAGAGTTAGAGAGAGGAAGAATAACAGATGCTGAACCAATAACACAACAGCAATTTGCAGTGTACACAACACAACAGTGAAAAAGAGACTCACTCCATTTGAAGGGAAGGAGGTCCAGCCCAGCTCTGCCTGGGATTCTTTAGAATTCAGTAAGACCACTGAAACACAAAGAGACATCAACATTAATCTCAACATCACTGACACAATATCAGAACAAATCATCCTAAAAAGAACATTTATTTATTTAACTGTGGTGTCGGGACTTAACGTTAGCATAGCGAGCAGCTACAGACCCAAACAGAGCTGCACACCACAGTACAGGTTTGATTCTGACCCACTGCTGCTCTGATGACACAAGTGTAGATGATAAACACCAACATCTGAGAGTAAAAGTGGAGGAACAGAAATCAAAGCTGGTCTGTGGTGCTCAAAACTGCATTGTTTTGGCTAGGCTAACGATAGCTTAGTTAGCAGGGCAACCGTTCTACACACCACAGCACAGATCTGGTTCCAGCTAACTGAAGCTAAAACCCATTTAGAGGATATCAGAACACAGAGCTGAGTGACCAGTGTTATACAGTGACACACACAGTATATAAATTGGACCCGGTCATCCCGTTGTTTACAGTGGTGACCAGCTGAGGTCAGTCACGTCGCTTCATGATCGACTTCTCTTGCGGTGGACGGCGGGGACGCGCGAGACTGCGCAGGCGCATTAATGACACAAATCTAAAGCCTGCAGTGTTTGTAGGAGCTAACCAGCAACATTCTGTGAACATGTTGAAGGAACATAAATCACAACCATTCAGAACGACACAGGACACTTTCACCACATTATGAATTTAGTTACTACATGCTCAAGCATTAGTAGTTTGTGTAAAAATATACGGTTGAATTAGAGATGAGAAGAAGAGAAAGAACAAAGCTAAACAGTCTCAATTAAACATGTTATAATACTGATTATAAAATAAACAAACCTGTCTGTCCTTTCAGCGGTCGCCCGACTTCACTCTCAGATTTTAACAAACTTGTGTCAGTGCTTTCGTTAGCCAGAATCGAACGAGTTCTGTGGTTAGCTAACGCTAACTGGCTCCTCTGTCCTGTTACTGTTTAACATTTATCAGTTGTCCAGCAGGCGGTTTGACATTTATTGAATGATGGCTTGAAAATCGTATTCACTTATCTGGTAACCATATAAAGTGAACCACTTTTTTATTCTGAAATAACTAGACGAAACAGGAAAAACTGTTGTGTCCCCAGCAGCTCAGCTTTTAGGTTTTTTTTTGTTTGTTTGTTATTTGTTTTTGTTTTTTCAAACACAAATACCACCATATGCCATAAACCCAGGTGAAATGTCAGGAAGATATGAAAAAACAGATACCGAGCCTAACAGACAGTCCGCTCTCTGTAGAAGAGGACAGGGCTGTAATGGCTCAAGTGTGGCTTTATTTTTGGACGGAAATCAGCCTGAAATGAAGGGAAGTGAATGGAGAGCTTCTTCCAGACGGTCCTCTCGTGCCTGAGCAGCTCACTTCCAGGGACACGCTTTGGAAGGCTAAAGCTGGGGGCCTGGAGTGGAGCTCTTAGCCGTTGCCGAGCTGTTATCATGCTTAGCTCCTCTGAGATTTTTCCTGCCTCTTATTTTCCCCTCTTCACATCAGTGTGGAATGTGTTAATATAGGTTTGGATCACACCAGCATAACTTTAAAATACTGCGGTACACTGAATCACCACTGTACCTCCCAGCCCTATCTGCACTGCATACTGATTCAAAGTCACACTGAAGTTCCAAAAAGTTGGCGTTCTGACGTTCACACTTCAACACGTTCGGCTGTAGGGCTTAAGAAACTATGAGTCAATAAAACCGAACTGTCGCATCCCTACAAATCGGTCATTTTCTTACTGAATCCAATGACAGCAAAAGATGTAGCGAGGCAGGATTTCCTGTCTTCTTCCTCTGTATGACAACCAGGCCGGCTCTGCTCAGCTCCTCAGTGAAACTGTACTAAATACAGACGTCACTGCAGAATTCATGACAAATGGCTCATTGAGAGCAGGAAGGAAGCAGCTGCCGGGCTCCGTGTTTGACGGCGTTAGAAAAACAGAGCAGAAAAAGGTGCTGACAGGCTCCTATAAGGGCACTCAGCTAGTAGATACAGATAGAAGACTTTAGCAAAAGGCAAAAACATGCAGGCAGTTTCTCCGAGTGAAAGCTATATGTGGAGTAATTTGTGATCTCTGGGAAAAAGAACGCAGTTTAATTATTGCGTGACAAATGTGCGGGTCAATTAGTTTGACACTTTCTCGTTGGGAGCGCGTTCACAAGGACACGTGTCACTTTGAGTATCAAAACCAACCGAGCGCTAATATAATACTAAGCTCACTTAGAGGAAAATAAATATCGCAGCACTTCATAAAGGTAGAATAGGAGAGCAGAGCCTCAAACAAGGCTATTCATACCTGATTCCTGAATTAAACCCAGTCCGAGAGGCTCAATCAGCACCTTGGACAGCGCGCCGCCATGAGAAACATCAGGGCCTCGGATAAGGCTACCGCTGAAAAGGGCAATGTTTCAGCACCGCGGATGAGGACACCACACTGGCCACATAAGTCCCTTGGACAGCTCCCTGACCGCGGGCTGAGATCAGCACCTTGGACAGCAGCTCCGGAGTTATTTTAGGCCTGAGCTTCTATGAAGACTCATATTCAAAATCTCTTGCCAGCCACTTTTACAGCTTCAGTGTTAATTTAACCTAAAGTATTACTCGGATGAAATTAGCTGCCAACGAGGAGATGAGGTAACGCAAGGGCTTCCGAAATGTTAAGGAATTTGGACGGGATAAGAAATCTCAGTATAAACGACAGAGATGGGAGTAGCTACTCAATTTACGTACTGCTTTCACTCCGGATAATAGCATTTCATTTCATGTTAATGCACTTAATGCAGAGTGTCATTAGCTGGAACATTCACAGCCAACAAGGCAGGGCAAGTTTATTTATATAGCACCTTTCAAACACAACTGTCATTCAAAGCACTTTACAAATGAGAAAATTCAGAGTCAGAGTTCTTTAAAAAAAGGAAAGTAAGTACAAACAGAAAAACATTATTAAAACAGCATTAAAAACATTATTAAAGCATGATTAAAAACAAATTTAAAAGAGGAAATCATTAAATTAAAAATCAAATTAGAAATTAAATTAGGATAGTTAAATAATCGAATTAAAAACTAAAATGTTGGATCAGGATTGAAAAAATTTTACAGTCAACTTCTCTGCATAAAATTAACCGTTCTAATGGAAAGTTGTGATGGGGAAGTACAAATTGGCTTTATTTTAGCCAAAGAGAACAATGAGCTTCCATACTTAAACTTCTTTTCCAAAGAATATGATGCTGTTTCTACCAACACGGCGATTCACACAGGGCTTACACCACCTCCTCATGTAAAAATAACAGCTTTAAGCACTACTGGGACCTACCAGAGGACGTCTGTAAGGATTAGGGATGTACTGATACTGATACAGTGCTCATTTACTCGTGATTAACCTCATTAAAGGCACCGATACCAACATCTGACACCGTCTGATACTGTGTGACGTAAGCTGAGTGAACAAACGACTCAAGCTGGCAGTGAAGTACGATCTGCTCACACAGAAGTGTTTCTGCTGCCGTGGCGAACACAAAGTGGATGGTTTTGGCCCCTTTTTAAACCACTTCTCTAATACAGGAGGAGACACGTGGGCCAACAAAACGAAGGCGAAAAAGTCGATGTCTGCTACTAAAGCTGCTTTGCGACAACACCTGTTACCATTAACCATGCAAAAGGATCTTTAAGTGTTCATGGTTCTTTATAGAACCATTTTCTTTAACGACAAGCAGGGCGAAAACAATCTATGGAGGGCCTTTACGTTCTGGTTATTGTAAAGGCATTTTAATAGGCATTTTAGATATAAAGGTTCTGTCTAACAAGCAGTTGCTTCATTAGCACTCATGCTTTTCCCCCCTCCAACATTGGCCACTGTGTGAATTTAGGCCTGTACATCATGGCTGTTAACCATGTCACCAATGCAACAGCCCACAGACAGATCAGCCTCAGGTCTCTGAGTAAAATCACGCCTTAGCTCCTGTTTATCAGACGAAATGGGCCGTTTTAAAAGGCCTCTGGAGAAACAGACTCGGAGGATAAGGCATCAGGTGGTAAAGTTTATGAGACATTAATCAATTCATCTAGATTAATTACAGTTTTGTAGCAAATTAGGGACCACTTTAGTGTAAAGAACCATCAAAAAACTCCCAGATGAAAAAGCGTATCTATTGATAGCATTCCGACGATGTCACGTTCGCGCTGCCACCAATTTGGCAGCAACATCAAGTTGCACTCAGCAGTGCTGTGGCTGTAATGAGATAAAGCCACAACTGATCCAGCAACGGCAGATAAAACGTTTTGTTGGATCACTTTTTAAATCTCATTTAAAAACATATTAATTGATATATTTGAGTGTTTTGATTTGATTGTATTTGTTGTTTTTGGTTTGTTGCTGTTATGATAACAAATGAAAGCTGAAATCTAAACGGCAGAGATTTCCAGCTGTGTTACTTGTGCCGTGTCCCAAACTGCACACTGGCTCACTAAATAGTGCATTTTTGATTAGAAGTGCACTCATTAGTGCAGTGGGTGAAGTACAGAAGTGTGTGGTTTGGGACGCGGCGTTAGATCAGCCAGTGAGACGCGATCAACAGCTGTTCTGCTGTGCTGCTCGTTAGCTGCTCATTAAACACCTCCAAGAGAAAGAGGGTTTGATGATTAAAGAGCTTTTATTGAGGTAAATTAATGTGTTTATTGAGTTGATGTTCGTATTCGCCAACTTCTGTAATTCGTTCCACGTTTAAGGCGCCTCAGAGTGACTGCAGCTCCATTTAAGATGGAACAGAAAACTGAAATGAGAATCTGGTGAATAAGCAGCTTCATCTTTATTTCTGTGTATGAGTTTATTTTTTAAGAGCTTTGGCAGTTTTGGTGCCTCCTTTATTAGTTTTTATAAAATCTCTCTGGAATGTTCTGAACTCTGGAGATGTGCAAGTTAAACAGATCCACCGATCAGCTGATCCTCTTGTAGTGTTTTTTTTTTTTGGAGATGCATTTTCTGGAGCGTCTACATA